ACTCCCGTACATCCGACCAAGTGTCGGCGTTGCCCAAGCGAGGGCGGGGCCAACACTCCATTCCCGTTAACAACCCCCCCCCCCCCCTCCCCTACTTTATATCACCCTGTACTTCATTGTCACTCGTCTCCCTGACTCCCTCCGCACTGTTTGGGACCTCTACCTCGCCCTTGACCCCACTGAGCTCACGCTTGCCTCGCTGGAGAAGTACCTTCTCAAGGCTGAGACCAGTACTGTCATTGTTGCTGCCTCTCGTGGCACTCCCCGCTCCCCCTTTTTTGAAGGGTGTGCTCCCTCCCCTTAGAATCGCTCAGTAGGTACAGCTGCAGGTCGTCGAGCCACGTGTCAAACTAAACCGGTCGGCCCTCATGATCCAACGGGCGACAGGCCGGAACCGGGGCCTAGGGGTGACGGGCGACGGGGCCGGGCCTAGGGGAGCGACGGGCGACGGGGCCGAGCCTAGGGGAGCGACGGGCGAAAGGGCCGACGGGCGGAGGAGCGGCGGGCTCGAGCGACGGGCCGGGGGCCGGAGCCTACGGGCGACGAGCCTAGGGGTGACGCGCGACGGGCGACGGGCCGGGACCGGGGCCTAGGGGCGTCAGGCGCGAGCGACGGGCGACGGGACCGGGGCCTAGGGGCGACGGACGCGGGTCTACGGGCCGGGGCCTAGGGGCTACTGGCGACGGGCCAGGGCCTAAGGTCGAGAGGAGGGCCACACGAGGATGGCTCGCAGGGCAACAGGTGGTGGGCCCAAGGAAAAAAGCGGTCCTAGCGAGGGACCTGCTCTGAAACCATGTCAGAAATAACGAACGAGAATGAATGAACTAGCAAAGAGTTGGGTACAAGTACTAACCCTAATTGGGTTGTACCACTTATGGGCTACCCCACTATAGCCTACACAAATGTAAGCACTATAATGTTCTGACAAGTACCCAGTGGAGCCTCCGGCAGCCAGTCTACGGTCTCCGCCAGGCGCCCCGCGAGTGGCATGACACACTGCTCTTGGGTTTGCTCCTTCCTCTGCTGACCCGTCGCTATTTCTACGCACCGACACTTCTCTGCCGCCGTTCTACGTTCTCGTGTACGTCGACCAATTGGTTTTTGCTACTACTGACACTGAGGCACTGGCCCTAGTGAAGGCGGAGCTGCAGGTGAGACACACGTGCACTGACCTGGGTGATCTGCGGAGCTATCTTGGCTTGCATATCACCCGGGACAAAGCACGGCGCACCATCACCCTGACTCAGTCATACATGGTGCACCAAGTCCTTCAGCGCTTCAGCTTCATGTAGTCCTCGCCACAGCCCACTCCTCTGCCTACAGGCCAGTCACTCTCAGCTCCACCTTCGGACGAGTCCGTAGAGCCGAGTGGTCCATATCCAGAGCTTGTGGGTTGCCTCATGTACCTGATGACGTGCACACGACCTGACATCGCGTACCCTCTCAGCCTCTTGGCTCACTACGTGGCTCCCGGTAGACACCGAAAAGTGCACTGGGAAGCTGCTAAGAGGGTACTGCGTTACTTGTGCAGTACATCGAGCATGGGGCTTGTGCTTGGTGGACAGGGTTCAGTTGTTCTCACCGGTCACTCAGACGCTTCTTGGGCTGACGTCCAGACGACTCACCGGTCGACACAGGGGTACAGTTTCAGCCTCGGCACTGGTTCTGTCTCGTGGAGGTCCAGTCGCTCGTCTTCTGTGCTTGGTTCCAGCTGTGAAGCTGAGATCTACACTGGGGCTATGGCTGCACAGGAGCTACACTGGCTGACCTACCTGCTGACCGACTTAGGGGAGCGGCCTCATTCTCCTCCAGTTCTGTACGTCGACAACAAGGCCATGCTTGCCTTGTGTCACGAGCAGACCCACCACCACTAGGACTCGCAGCACCCCCAGATTCAGCACCCCCAGAGTCAGCACCCCCAGAGTCAGCACCCCCAGAACCCTCACCCCCAGTCTCAGCACCCCCAGGACCAGCACCTCCTTTGTCTTCACCTCCAGTGTCACCACCCCTAGCAGCACCAGTGTCCACAGCTACAAGCTGCAGAGGCGGTGAAGACGGTCGAGGCGGAAAACCAGGATGGGTCGCTGTGTCGTCAGCAGCGGGGTCACCCCCCTCAGCTAGGCCAGAGGTGTCAGAGGAGATCACCAAAGGCTCAACCAAGGGGGGTGGGTGGACCTGAGACACACCTGAGGGAGCAGGACCCTGTGGGGGGAGGGGGTCTACCGGGGGGGAATTGGTACCAGGAAGAGAGGCGCGAGGGGGACCGGGTGGGACGCGTGCGGGTGGAGTCTGTAGAAGTAGACAGACTCGTCAAAGGTGACGTCCTGTGAGGACAGGACTCGACGCGAGCGAGGGTGGTAAAACTGCCACGACGGGGCGTCGGTGGGGAAGCCAAGGAAGGCGCAGCGGAGAGTGCGAGGAGAGAGCTTGCTCGCGGTGGTATCGTAAACAAGGGAGAGCGCGCCCCAGACCCGAAACGCCGACGCATCGCCAACCTCTCCTGTCCAACGGAGTGTGGGCGAGGTCTCTGGCAAAGAGACACGGGGCCAGAGGTTGAGCTGATGCGCGGCGTATCAGACCGCAAATGGCCACAAAAAATGGGGAGCAGCCGCATGGATCATGGAGGTACGAGCAACCTCCATGATCAAGCCAATGCGACGCTCAGCAATCCCATTTTGCTGTGGAGAGGCAAGAAGCGTGAACGACTGGATGATGCCCTCGTCTCGACAAAACTCCGCAAGGAGGCTAGAAGAGAACTCACCACCCCTGTTAGAGTGCAGACGCAGGACTGGAAGGTCCCGTTGAAACGGCTCGCACATCTGGTGACGAGTAGCGCGGATCCAGGGGATCAAAATACGGCAGACGTCCGCCTTGCTGCGCAAGGGGAAGACCGTGGTGTAGCGCATGTTGTCGTCAACGACCAGCAGGAAGTAGCGCTCCTGGTCCATTCCACGGACACGGACCGGGCCCCACACGTCCATGTGGAGAGTCTGCAGAGGAGCAGAGGTCGGAGGAAACGAGGAGGAGTGAGGAGCGGCGCGCTGCCGCCCGTTGACGTAGGGAAGGCACGGCGGGGCAAGCGAGCGTGGGAGGGGCGGCAAGGACCTGGGAAGGCCAGAGACAAGGAGACGAGAGTGCATGCTGCGTAGACGCGGCAGAGAGAGGTGAACGAGGCGGTGGTGCCAGAGGAGAGTCTGGTGGGAGAGTACCGGACACGAGCACGATGCAACAAGCTGACCAGACGCAGACACCTGACTCGACCTAGCCACCTAACCTGACGCAGCCACCTGTGCAGACGCAGTGGTCAAGGTGTATAGACTGGAACCAGGTTGCCGAGTGAACGTAGCAAGGTGACGGCCAGTCCGGGAGCACGTACAGATCGCCACACGCTGCCCTCCAGGAGTAAAGGTATCAACCCATACATCCTGAAGGAATGCATTGGTCACCAAGTTTGTCGAGAACGAGGGGAGGTGGGGACCTGAAAGAGAGCCGGAGGGGACTGCCGTGTTGGAGTGGGCTAATGTTCGCTCTGCATTTCATCATGGCCTTATATCATTTTTTTGCCACTTTTAGACATAGTTTCATTTCTGGTTCATCTTAGGTTCATTTTGCAGTTTGTCTTTGCATTGAACACGCCCTAGGTTCAGTTGGGGTTTCCCAACCCTATCTTTCAAATGTCTCTCGACACTTTCTCTACTGCAACTTTTCCTTCTCACCTAATCAGCCGTCATGGCTCTCCTTCTAAGTCTTAACTTAACATGGTATTCAGAGCGTAGTCCTAGGCGTCTCGTTTTCATTCGCATCTCATAGATAATCCCAAGCCCCTAGGCCATTTTGGTGCTAAGAAATAGAAAGATCTTATTTTTTTTCCCCTTTCTTTCTCCTTTTTTTTTCGTCATCTTAAGCATTCGCGTTTTTCGTACTAGAAATTCGCGGATGCCTTCAACTGGCCGCGTCACCTCCGTAGCGCCCATCTTCCGAGCCCGTATCACTATACCGCACGTCCCCACGTCGTTGCGCCTCCTCCTCCTCCTCCTCGTGGTTCCGCCCTTAGAGCGACGGTTTCTGCCTGCAGCGCGTTTCGCTCCCTCCCCTCCGCCTTTTTCATCCTCCGATCGCGCGCGCGCACAGCGCTACCGCTGCTGCGCGCGCCCTGTACGGTTCCGCAGCGCATATACGTGCCTGCCCTGTCGCGCGCCTTGCACTTCCGCCCGAAGGGCATTCTGCCCCATCTTCCCTTCCCCCTACTGTTGCGTGCTCGTTACACCGCCGCGCGCGCGCGCGCGCTTTGCACCGTTCAGCGGCGTGCGCGCGCCTGCTTTCCCTTGCGGCGCCCTGCTCTTCCATCGAGTCCGCCCCCCCTCCCCCCTCCCCCTTCCCTACAATCCGCCCCTTCACCCTCCTCCTCCTCTCCTCTCTCCCTCTCTCACCCCTTCCTCCGCCTCTTTCCTCTCCTCATCTGCTGCAGCTGGTACCTCATTGTGTCCTACAGTGATTCTACTCCGCACATCTCCCCACAATCCGCCCCTTCACCCTCTTCCTCCTCTCCTCTCTCCCTCCTTCCCCCCCCCCGTCTCACTCTCTCCTCCGCCTCCCTCCTCTCCCCATGTGCCGCAGCTGGTTGCTGACATTGTCTCATAGTCGTGCTCCTTCTCACACTTTTCCCTCCGCCTCTTATTTCTCCCCATAGCGGCGCAGCAGCAGACTACTCCGCCATTATTCCTCCACCTCTTATTTCTCCCCACAGCGGCGCAGCAGCAGACTACTCCACCATTATTCCTCCGCCTCTAATTTCTCCCCACAGCGGCACAGCAGCAGACAACTCCGCCAATATTCCTCCTCCTCTTTTGTGTCCCCACATCTACTCTGTTGCTATATCATCACCTCCCCTCCTATGGCGACCATTCTTGCCGTTTCCTCTCTCCATCTACGTGGCTGCCTTCCTACTCCTGTTAAAGTACCTTTTCGCTTACCCCTCCTACCCCTACCTTTCGCGCCAGCTGCTCTCTCTCCTCCTTGCACCGCCTCTCCCATTTGCTGCTCGACCCCCCTTCCTGTCTCATTTCAGCTGTCTCACCACCATCGCCAGCCCTCTGCCCCGACACTGCCTGCCACCGCGCCTCCTGGTGCTGGTCTTCTTCCCTCTGTTCTCAGTGTGACCCTGCCTTCTCATGCTAGCATTCTTGGTGCTTCTCCTCTCATAGACCCTTGCTTTGCTGTGTTCTTTCCTCCTTTTGTTGATGGTGCTTTCTCTCCACATTCTTTCCCTACGGTTGCTGCTCTTTCAATTCCTCGCACCTTGGACTTTGTCCTTGACAGTGGAGCTACTTATTCTGTTTTTCGTGATGCTGGTATTCTTCGCTCTTTTCCCCGTCCCCTCTCTATTCATGGGGCCAGGGAGACCATGACACTGACATGCACCGGCACCTCATCTCTTCCCTGTCTTGCCTCCCCCTCTGGCGCTGTCACTGGCCTCTATGTCCCTTCTTGCCGTCATAACCTCCTCTCCCTGTCTGCCCTCCAACGCCTAGGTGTGTGAGCGAGCTTTCCCGCAGGTGAACTTTACAGTGATCTTTATCGCCGAGACTAGCACCTCGCTCGTTTCACCCTTTCCCCTACCTCTCGACTCTATACCCTCCGTGTTTCTATCCCCTCTTCTGCCCATCACACTTCCCTTGCTTCCGCTCCTCCCACCTCCTCTTGCGCCTGTCGCTCTCTCATCCAACCTACTCTACTTCTCCATCATCGTCTCGGCCACCCAAATTTCCCTCTTCTTCGCAGCATGGTCAATTCAAAGCTGCTTCATGATCTCCCCTCTTCTCTCCCGCCCCTTCCCCCTTCTTCTGCCCCTCCTTGCACTCCCTGTGTTCAAGCCAAGCTCTCTCAATCTCCTCATCCCTCTTCCCCCTCTGCCTCCCCCCAGCCTCTTGATCTCGTGCATATGGACCTCTGGGGCCCCTCCCCAATAGCATCTCGATAGGGTCATCGTTGCTTTCTCCTTCTCGTTGATGACCATTCTCGTTTTGCCACATTCTATCCCCTCCGTGCTAAATCTGACGCCCCTTCCCTCATCATTCCCTGGGCTGAGCAGGCTCGTCTTCGCGTTGGGCGTCCTGTCGCACGCTTCCACTCTGGCGGTGGTGGCAAGTTCTTTAACCACTCTCTCTCCTCTTACTGCTCCTCTTCTGGCATTTGCCACACTTCCACCCTTCCGCGCTCTCCTGAGCAGAATGGTGTTGCCGAACGTCGCATTCGCACACTCATGGAAATCACTCGCTGCCTCCTCACCCATGCTTCTGCTCAACATTCTCTTTGGAGCTATGCTCTCGTCCACGCCACTCTTCTTTCCAACCTTCGCCCCCGTCCTCTTTGCCCCTCCATTTCCCCCTTTCAGCTCTGGACTGGCCGCCAGCCCTCTGCTCGCCCTCTTCGAGTATGGGGCTGTGTCGCTCATGTCCTCGTCAATCCTGCTGATCGGGCACGTCAAGGTGGCAAACTCGCTCCCAAAACACAGCTCTGTGCATTCATTGGTATCAGGATTGATTGTCCTGGCTATATTTTTTACGCTCCCTCCTCTCAGCAGCTTCTTTGCAGCAAGGATGTCATATTTGATGAGACTTCGCAGCCACCTGACCTGACGCAGCCACTTGTGCAGACGCAGTGGTCAAGGTGTACAGACTGGAACCAGGTTGCCGGGTGAACGTAGCAAGGTGACGGCCAGTCCGGGAGCACGTATAGATCGCCACACGCTGCCCTCGAGGAAGAAAGGTATCAACCCATACATCCTGAAGGACTGCGTTGCTCACCAAGTTCGTCGAGAACAAGGGAAGGTGGAGACCTGAAAGAGAGCTGGAGGGGACTGCCACACACGGGAGGACAGTGGAGGCTCGTGCGACGACGGGGCCCCCAGAGGGGTCAGCCAGTGAGACCGGGACCGGTGCAGCGAGTGGTGTGACTGTGGTGCAATCGCGAAAGAAGCAACGATACGCACCAGATTCAAGTGTGAAAGTGTGCAAGGTCTCAACTGAGGCTGCAGACTCACTAGCAGCAGACTCACTAGCACCTGTGGCAGCAGACGCACTAGCACCTAGAGCGGCAGCAGACTCACTTGCAGCGCAAGGCACACACGAGTAATAGGCACCCTCACACTAAACCCTAATTGGGTTGTACCCCTTGTGGGCTACCCCACTATAGCCTACACAAATGTAAGCACTATAACATTCTATAACAAATGTCCCCCTTCTCCCCTCTGTTGCTTCTGCTGCTGCTGTCAACCTCGTTGGCACTGAGGAGGTCGGGGCTGCGTCTGCTCCGAGTGGGAGACACCGCAACAGCAAGGGCAAGGGGAGCAGAGGTGGTGGAGGGGGCGGCGGGGGGGGTGGTGGCGGAGGAGGAAGGGGTGGCGGTGGAGGTGGGGGTGGCACCGGGAGTGGGGGCTTCAGTGGCGGCAGTGGAGGTGGTGGAGGCAGCGGCGGAGGTGGTGGAGGCAGCGGCAGCGGTAGTGGAGGTGGCGGCGGCGGTGGTGCTGGTCGAGGTGCAGCCGCGCAGCGTGGAGGCTTTGGTGGTAGCCAGCGCCAGCAGCAGCCGCGCTCCCGTGAGACCCCGTCGGCCCATCAGCTTCGTGAGTGGTACGCTGGGCGTGGGAGGTCTGGGAGTGCTGGTCCCTGCACTTACGTTCTTCGCACCGGCAGTCGTCGTGGGGAGGCGTGTGGGCTGCCAAACACTACGCAGCGCTGCTTCGGTCGCTTGACTGACGCCTGGCGTGCCCAGTTTCCTGAGCTGTTGAGCTCCCTCGCTGGCATGATCTGCTTCTGCAGAATGTGCCTATCTTTGATCTTGATTTCGATGCTATCCTTGCTGCCATGTATGCTGTGACTGATAGTGCTGAGGTTGATTGTTACCTGAGTGTCCCGCCCGACCCGGGCATTGAGGCTGCTGCTCTAGGTGCTAGTGCGTCTGCTGCTCCAGGTACTGGTGAGTCTGCTCTCTCTGGTACTGCACCTACTGAGGCCTTGCACACTTTCACACTTGACTCTGGTGCTTCGCGCTCCTTCTTCCGCGATAGCACCACACTCACGCCGCTCAGTCGGCCTGTCGCAGTCTCCCTGTCTGACCCCTCTGGGGGCCCAGTCCTTGCGCACTCTTCCACGGTTCTACCGTGTCCTGCGGCCCCGTCGGGCTTGCTGTCGGGGCTCCACCTCCCCTCGTTCTCTACGAACCTGGTGAGTGGAGCTGACCTCGAGGATGCGTGGGTCGACCAGTTCACCCCTGGAGGTCAGCGTGTGACCTACTGCACTTGCTCTAGGACGGGCCGCCACCTGGCCACGTTCACCCGTCGGCCTGGGTCGAGTCTGTACACACTGACTACTGCGTCTCCTCCGGTCACTGTGTGTGGTCAGGTAGCCGCGTCTAGTCAGGTGTTTGCTGCCGAGTCCAGGTCTAGTCCTGAGTCTGCCCCCTGCTCGTGTCGTCTACTGTCGCACGAGACTCTCCTTTGGCACCACCGCCTTGGTCACCCCTCCCTGCCTCGTCTTCAAGGTATGGCCTCCCGTACCCTTGTCTCGGGTCTCCCCCGGTCCCTCCCTCCCCTTCCTCCGGGGCCTGCCCCTACCTGTGTTCAATGTGTCGAGGGCCGACTGCGCGCCGCTCCTCACTCCTCCACGTTCCCTCCGACGGAGGCTCCCCTGCAGACTCTTCACATGGACGTGTGGGGCCCAGCCCGCGTCCGTGGACAGGGTCACGAGCGTTACTCCCTGCTGGTCGTTGACGACTACTCGCGTTACACCACAGTCTTCCCCTTGCGCAGCAAGGGTGAGGTCACTGAGGTGTTGATCGACTGGATCCGCGGTGCCCGTCTCCAGCTCAGCGAGCGTTTCGGCTCGGACCTTCCTGTTCTGCGTCTGCACTCAGACAGAGGTGGTGAGTTTTCCTTCGACCTCCTGAGGGCCTTCTGTCGTGCGGAGGGCATCCGCCAGACGTTCACGCTTCCGGCCTCTCCACAGCAAAATGGGATTGCTGAGCGCCGCATTGGCATGGTCATGGACGTCGCTCGTACGTCCATGATCCATGCGGCTGCTCCCCATTTTCTGTGGCCGTTCGCGGTTCAGTACGCTGCGCATCAGATCAACCTTCAGCCTCGTGTCTCCTTGCCGGAGACCACACCTACTCTGCGGTGGACGGGGAAGGTTGGCGATGCGTCTGTGTTCCGTGTCTGGGGATCTCGAGCTTTTGTCCGCGATACTTCAGCGGACAAGCTGTCCTCCCGTGCCGTTCCCTGTGTCTTCCTTGGCTTCCTCCCTGACGCACCCGGGTGGCAGTTCTACCACCCCACCTCGCGTCGTGTTCTGTCCTCTCAGGACGTCACGTTTGACGAGTCGGTGTCTTATTACCGTCTCTTTCCCTACCGCACTGCCTCTCATCCCCCCCCGCCACTCTTCTTAGCACCAGGTACTCCTCCGGTAGACCCCCTCCCCCCTCAGGGTCCTGCCCCCTCAGGTGTGTCCCAGGTAGACCCTGCCGAGCCGGTCGAGGTAGCTGTCGACTCAGGTGCTGCTAGGGGTGCTGAGCCTGCGGGTGCGGGGACTGGGGGTGTTGTGCCTGGGGTTTCTGTGTCTTAGGGTGTGGAGCCTAGGGGTGCTGAGCCTGAGCGTGTGGAGCCTGGGGGTGCTGAGTCTGGGAGTGCTGAGCCTGGGGGTGCTGAGCCTGAGCGTGCTGCGTCTGGAGGTCCTCCGGGTGTCCCGTCGCGGCGGGAGCCCCTCTCTCCGCAGTAGCTTCGTGAGTGGTACGCTCGGCGCTATCGAGGTGCTGCTGGTGCTGTTGGTACTGCTGGTGCTAGAGGTGCTGCTGGAGGTGCTGCTGGTGCTGCTGGAGGTGCTTCAGGAGCTGCTGGAGGTGCTGCTGGTGCTGGAGTTGCTGGTGCTGCTGGTGCTGGAGGTGCTCCAGGAGCTGCTGGAGGTGCTTCTGGAGCTGCTGGAGGTAGTGGAGCAAATGGTCCTCGTACTGGAGGTACTGGAGCTGCTGGGGCTGGTGGTGCTGTAGCAGTTGGAGCTGTAGGTGCTGGAGCTGTTGCTACTGGAGGTGCTTCTGGAGCTGGAGCTGCTGTAGGTACTGGAGCTGGTGGTACTGCGGGAGTTGTAGCTGGCGACCCTGGAGCTGAGGG